GACTGCCATGGAAGGCTCATTCAGCTTCACCCTGTCTGACAAACTACAGCCTGGATGTTCACGTGATGCTGCTTGCATGCTGGAAATGGGTCAGAACAGAAACTCTGGGCGGACATGAAATGCTGCAGTAAGCTGCTCACCACCCTGGAATGCCAACAAACCTCCAAGTGAAAGGGAACTAATAGTAAGAATCCTTTATTATATGAGGATCGGCAAACAGAAATAATCACCAGGTTACTTAGAATTCATGTGACTGTTGATGTGTAGTCTGGATATATCAGACTGTATCTGAGCAAACATGAATCCCTTCAGCTCACCCACAGCTCTTCTTGAAGCTAAAGCCTGCACATTCCTTCCACAGGGCGCCTCCACTTCCTGCTTTCTCCTGCAGCCTTTGTTCGACTGAACTGGAACGCAGCTCATTCATGAGCACAACCGGACAGCGCCGGCCGCAGCAGGACCAACACCGGGCTGCTTCTACTGTGACTGGCACACATGGAGAGTAAATCTGTTCTGCTGTTCTCAGTCTATCATGCAAAGGATGCATCTGCTCAGCTGTCTGACGTACACCAACAGCTGATGCTGCCAAATATGTTGAATCAGATCCTAATTCATCACATCATGACTGCAGGACTTCAAACACCTGCATGCAATCTACTTTACATCATGTATAGTACAACATACAGCATCTCAGGAACTCCCAGTATGACAGAGACCAGATAACTCCTCCTTGAGCAGCACTGGGCCATAGTGGGCAAGAAAACGCCCACCAGGATCAGACTCAGGATGGGTGGCCCAGTGCCACGAGAGAGGCAGTAAACTGTCAGACATCTGTTCACCTGTCTGAGACTTTCCCTTTACCTTCCTCCATCCATCATCTCTACACCTTAACCCTCACCAGGGTCATGGGGGGCGGAGNACAGGGCTACACTTAGAGACAGACAACCAAGCACACTCACATTCACACCTACGGACAATTTACAATCACCAATTAACCTCAGCATGTTTCTGGACTGTGTTGTGAGCGAGTCAGGTCATCACACAGACCAACAACATCACTGTTTGCAACCCTGTTTGGATCAGAGGTCCAGATACAGAAGAAACGCTCATTTTGCTGGATATAAACGTTGTATGGACAAGACCCTACTGGCTGATGTTTGGTTTTGTAATAGTGATGAGTGTGTGTGTGTGTGTGTGTGTGTGTGTGTGTGTGACACACAGGGCGAATGAGAGCTCACTTAAGGTTTCATCCATAGAGACGCTCTGCTGGCAGATGAACAGGCTGCTGATGTCTCATTGGTCAGTTGAGCAGAAAGAAAGGAAATGTTTATTTTAACCATCCAATGATGTGGAAACATTTTAAGAACAGAAAACAGTAGTTTTTCATTGTGCTGAAACACAGTGTGATACACACACACACACACACACACACACACACACACAGTGGCTGATTCAGATCTTCTCTCCACGACTCTTCAGCTCTTTAACTCCTGCTGCCAAACACCACATCTGCTGCTGCCTCTCGCCCTCCAATCTATTAAATTAAAATTCAGACTAAATCTGTGTGCGGCTGATGCCAGTGTGTGTGTGTGTGTGTGTGTGTGTGTGTGTGGGCAGCGTAGCGATGTGGGTTTAGCCACTTGTTGTGATGTGGATGCTGATGTGTGTAAACTGGACCTGGACAGCTGCTGTGAGGCTTTAGTGACGGATTACCAGATCTGTGAGGACACCACAGGGATCTGATTACAAAACAGGAAATGAAACGAGAATGTGTTTGATTGACTGACAAAGACATGAACATGACACAAACACACAGTCTGAACCACCATGCTTTGTTTTTTAAATAAAATGGCAAACACAAGTCCTCGTCTGGACGTCAGTGACTTGATTATTATGTAAGTGCTCAACTTTTTCAGTAGTGCCAAAAAGTAACCTCCTAATTACCTGGTTTCCCCAAACCACTCTGTCAGGACCCGTCCCAGCCTCAGTCCCTGTCACACGTAGGTAAATCGGTGATGGACGTTTGGTTTAAACAAAGCTACGAGTCACTGAAAACCATCACAGCTGAAAGCTCTGACCACAGTGGAGAAAAACTCCGTCTTTACGTTTGCATGTAGACGGGAGGAGACGGAGTTTGACGTCACAGTGTGCGACCATGTTAGTTTTCTTTTTAGTTAGTGGGTGTGGCTTATGTTCAGGTGCGTCAGTAGTCCAGACATTACGGTCGGTTGGGTTAGCCCCAGCTCCATCCCCTCTCCTGCTCAGTGGTCTGCTCTTTGTTTGCTCCTCACCAGTCTGCACCTGGGTTTTCAGATCTGCCATGACCAAGGGTCCGAGCTGGAACGTGGGGTTTTTAAAGGTGAACATATGGAAGTCAAGGTACCTGTACAGTGCACAAGCACAGCAGTCTTATGGCACATGAACGGACACCTGATGACATCATCCTTCACTGATGTAAGCTTCAGTGGAAAACATGGACCACGGCAGAGACACGTCTGAAGTTTATCTGTTGCTCTGCTCATGTTTTATAACTGCCCAGAAACAAAACCGTCAACGTCTGCAGTTCTCTGCGGTTTACTGTGTAAATCCACTACGTTCAATTCGTTCGCTTCAAAGACAAACGCTCGTTAATCCGGATCTATTCTGAAATTAGGTTAAAAATCTAATTTGTCTGCATACTCATTTGAGAAGGTCAGTGGACCTAGTCCTTACTTGATGAGAAAAAGCAGCAGATGCTGAAAGAAGATGAAGTGTGTGGAACTTTGGGCTTTTCCATTCAATGGTGCAAAAATGAAGATGAACATGTTTCTCCATTTATACCTCGGATGCAGCACACTGGGTGGGTATATATATATATATATATATATATATATATGCAGAGCTAGCTGTGGTTGTAGCTTTTGACAGCATGCTAGCATTTGCTAATTAGCTCTGAACATAAGGTGCAGTTCAGACGGACACAGAGTCAGGGCGTCTCGAGGCCTCGTCTGTCCAGTCGTTCACTAATGAAGTCCACACATGGCTCCTCCTCCTGCACCACTGACCCGCCTCATGCTCAACCCAAGGCTCCTCCAGCATCACTAGCTCCACCTCCACACCTCTCCCCGGCCACCTGACACTTCGTAGCGCTCTCCAGCTCATCGACCAATAAACAACATATTCATGAAACAGCACTTCAGTGCACATCAAATGAACCACCAACAGCAGCTGCACATTACGACTCATGACAGTCCACGGTGACACCTGGCACACAGGTGTGCTAGCTTAGCATCATAGCTTAGAAAGCACATGTGGTGCTAGCTTACTGACAAATCATTAGCAGCTCATAGCAATCACAGTGTTCACAAAACAGCACATCCTGACTGGTTTTATGATGGAATAAGTGCCTCGAATCACATTCTACGTTCACAAATGTTCAAGACTCACCAGGACCAGCACACTACATTCACCTCCTGGGCTCAGCAGCTCACTGGACTGAGCTTCCACAACACCTGCTTCTGCTGAACACACTTGATGCTCAAACACTGTCAAAGAGCCGTTTTACTCATTCAGCCAGGAGAAGGAGCAGAAAGTTACCTGCAGACAGATGCCACAAACGACAGTCACCTGGCTCTGAGTGGGCGGCGCCGTGGTGCATTCATGACTATGGGAAAAACCATCACTCAGCAAAAAGTGTAGCATTGAAGGAAAATAAAAAAATAAAATAATGACTTTGACAATAAAAATAGCTCTGAGTTACACTTCCTATTGTGACAACATGGATCATCTAAAGAAACCAGCCAAGA